ACACACACACACACACACACACACACACACACACACACACACACAGAGTCACATGAGGGTGACTCATGGCAACAGCAGTGTGAGTGTGTGTGTATATGTGTGTGTGTGTGGGTGTACAGTATATGTGAATGTGGGTGTGCAGTGCGTGTTTGCGAGAAGCACAGCGTGAGTGTGTGGGAGACAATGTGTGTGTCTGTGTGTTTGCACAGCTAGCTTTATGAGGACCGAAGTGAGTTTAAGACCTTGGGAAAAGGACATTTCTTTCAAAGTGAGGACGTTCAAATCAGTCCTCTCTTCAGGACTGTTTGACGGGTTCAGATCACAGACTGTGTGAAACTCGTGGTCACAGTGGAGTCACCCACTGGTTTCTGAAATCTCATTTTGCAAACTCCGCTTTAGCTTGATGGCTGTTTTCATCCCGATTTTACTGAAAACAGAGGCGACAGTCTTTGGATGAAGGGTAGAGTGGAGAAAAGGGAGAACACCAGCAAGCCTGGTTAGATGCATCGATGCATTGCAAAGACACAGACACCTGCTAAATAACATCTAGATAAGCATGCAATTACCTCACAACAAGTCATTTTGAAGCCATATTATTTGTCAGAACAGAGTCTAATTAAGTGGCTCAAATTAGCGGAGCTGAAAGTTGTTATAAAGACAGAAATTAGCTATAGACACCACAACATGTTGCAGTGTATCAGGCTGTAACGTGTTTATTTCTGCTGTGTTTTTAACGTCCGAGTCTCATGTTTGAAGCCAGATTCAAGCGGACGTTAGAGGAACTGCAATTTTTGACACTGGGTTTATGTCAGCGATGGTCCCCACGCAAACGGTGACTAGCCTGCCACTGAAGTCCACCGAAGCAACTTGAGGCAGCTTTTACTTTGTGCATCATGACTCAAAGTAGCGTCCATAGTTATTAAAGTGTGTCTGCAGCTGAAATACTGAGGCCAGTGTGTGGCAAGGAAAACGTGACTGATTCGTATTAACAAGCCAAAAGTGCAGCAAGAAAAAACACCAAGCATCACACCACTACTAGTCCTGACTATATGCACAAGGCAGGTGGGTCCACTGATTCACGCCGCAGACAGCGAATCCTGAGCTGTCAACAACAGGCGTGCAGCCTCATCAGACCGCACTGATTTGTTTAGCTCAGGTGAGCCTTTGCATCATATATCTGCTTCGACCTGTGCAGGGCTAAGAGATGTGCAGAGATGCTTTTCTGCTCAACACTCTTATAAAGAGTGACGCTCAGGCAGTACTCAGAGATCCTGACGCCTCATTTTTCCCATTCTGACGTTTGTGGACATTCACCGAAGCTCCTGGCACGTATCTGCATCCCTTCATGCACAAAGCCACATGTTTGGATATGACCGAATAACTCAAGTCAGTTTATTTATGAGCACTTTTAAGAACAAGTGTTGACCAAAGTGCTGCATAACAGAACATGAATAAATGAAAGAAAAATGAAATGTCAAGATTTAAAGATGCGAGTTTTAATTGCCCAGACTGTTCTGAAGTTTAAGGGCATGTTTTCATCTGTGAAACTAGAAGTGTCTGCTCAGCTGACCTCAGTGATCTTTTGGGAACATGCATTGTTAAAAGGTCAGAAAGGTAAGAAGGCGCTAGCACATTTAAAGACTTAAAAACCAACAACTGGAAATAAAGTATCGAATTTCAGGAGCGGGACCACGCTGCCAAACATGCTGTTTCCGGTTCTCATCTATATACGTCTCCCCCAGTTCATTCTCATTTACATGCCCCCCCCCAAAACAGGAAACTGGTGCACCGTCAGGAGTTGCAGATGAGAAAGCAGAACTGAGTGATTTACAGAGGTCTGAACAGTCTCACTTTAGTTTTTCACTTGTTCAGGTTCAACGAGTTTAGCGCCATCCATGATTTCATGGCAGCGAGTCCAGCAAAGCTGTCAGAGGAGCCGTGGTACGCAGACAGATTTGTGAGTCAGATGCATAACATGGAAATTCAATTCCATATTTTTGGAAAATTGAAATCAGGAGCATAGAAAGTGAAAAGAGTACAGGACCAAGAATGGAGGTCATGAGAGTGGAGCAGGTGATGATGAAAACCCACCAACGTGACAGAAAAACCTCTGCCTGTGAAACACACACATCTCTAACACACATCTCTGTGGTGCACAGACCAGGAAACACGATCCACTGTATCGAATGCAGCAGCTGAAAGCATGAAAATGGTTGAATCTCCAATTACTAAAAGATCATCAAAAACCTTTCAAAGTGCTGATTCTGTGCTGCAAAACTGGACTGAAATATTTCAGTCTGATATTCGTGTCAGGTATTTATTTCCATCGGGGCCTGGAGATGGTGGAAAACAACTTTCTCCAGTATCTTAGACAGAAAGGGCAGCTTAGGGATCGGCCTAAAGCTCTTTGACAGACGGCAGAATGATGGCATGTTTAAAACTCAGCAGTCCCCGACAGCGTCCAAGACCTCGTTGTACAGATGTGACATCTAGGGAGCACACAGCAGGCTTCAGATGACCGATCACTTCAGAAAAAGTCTCAAAGGGGTCAAAATCAGCAAAATATTTGGGGAATAGGGAGATCACAGTCAGGGGGAGTGATGTGAGACCTTATACCTGCAACGTTATCATCTATAACTGCTGATAAGTTTATTAGAGATAAGGGCAGAAAAATACTTCTGCTC